AAACATGGGGGAACGATTCACTTCAATTTCGTCAGAAGTAAGTGACAGTGAACTGCAGAATCCTCCACCCTTTTTTCTTTCTCTTTTTATTAAAAAAAGATGAAATATTTTAGTTATCAAATATGTTTTCTATTTCTTTTTCACATGTCATGAATATCTATAGTCTAAGATTCGATGCCCATGCTTTCAAACATGTAACAATGATTGAATTGACCTAAACATGATTTTCTTTAACTGAGTTTTAATCTAACTTGGCCTGACAAGAATTTGCACATATTCGTTTTGAACAGCAGATTAAGATAATTTTGTACTTGACTTAAACATATTAACATGTTTTCAAAGTAAATTAAAAAGTAAAAAGAATATATACCAAAAAAGTAAATTAAATAAGAAACCTCTTAAACTTTTTTCTAACAATGGTCCACAGGATTTTTTCCATCTTAACTAATGTGGAAGGAACTTTTCCAACGAATGGTTTCTTACATCACATAGAGTATTGCATGCATCACATTGAATATTGGCTACAAGTTTATCTTCGTTTCTTTTTTTTTTGTCAACGGCTACAAATTTATCAATGTTACAGAATAGATACATCTTTTTTATTTTTTTTAACACAACAAAATACATAGATCATATAATGGTTTGTTTTAGTTTTGTTACGAACGGGCAAAGAGGAGGCCAATAAAATTATTAAAGGAATTGCATTGGAACTCTTCAAGTCACAAAGTGTCTGTCTCACTATCTATGGACTATAGTGGTGAAAGGAAAAAGAGAGAGGAAAAGAGGGGAAAGAAACTCGCGAGGAACACGCAACCCATTCCTCTCTGTGTTGCTGTCTCCATCGCTTCATCATCATCTCTCACTTCTCTTCACCATCCTTCTTCTTCTTTTTTATAAACTTTTTCTTTCATTTCTTTCTCACTTCAATTAAATTCGAGAAAATAATTAATTATGCAATTTCTTATTAGAGAAAGTCAACCACACCACACGTAAATTTTTACTATGTACCCTACTAATTATTACGTTACTGGAGAGACTTTTGGTGGTTTTGAATTTATAGTGTGCAAAACTGCAAACACTATATACTATATGTTACATTTAGAAATGTATTAAATCTGTATCAATAAAATCTCAATATTTGGTGAGTCGGATGTAAGCGCTATCGAAATTAACATCTAAAAGGTGTGGAGCGGTACCAGTGCCGTGCCAACAATTTGAGCTGCCATAAGCCAGTTTAAATAAAATTCTTACACTCAATTATAACGTTATTGTAGTTAAGTTATATAGTAGAAACAAATAAAAGCTGAATTACTACAAAAATGAAGAAATTATTAAATTTAAAACTTTTAACCAGTTCTATTAAAATAAATATAGTGACTAGAACATTAATATTTCACGTGATAAACTTTAACAAGTTTAAAATAGTCAAATCCAACAATTTTTATATAATAACAGATTTTATTTATTTTATTGTATTTTGATAACTAAAAATGACCATATACTATTTTGGTTGCTCAAGGATGAAAACCATAATGTAGTCTTGTCTTCTTTATTCTAACTATTATAAGACTTTTAACCTTTAAGTATTTGTTTTATATTTTTGGTAATTAAGCTTAAATAGAAAAAAACTAGAAAGTATGTCCTTAATTGTTTTTACAAAATTTGATGCCATAAGCCAATGTTTCAAAATTTAACATTGAGGCACGGCTCTGAGCGGTACGATAAACTTTTCAGGTTTGTGAATTTTTTTAAAAGATAATTATGTACTTTCAAAAATAAAATAAAATCAGATTTTGAGACTAATACAAATATGGAATAAGGGATTGTAAAATTATTAATTCACAATAATATACAAACCTTAAATTGATAATTTTCTCAATATATTTTGCTCTTTTTTTGTTTCTTCGAGTTGATTCGTATTTGTTCATAATACTATGAGTTGATTCGTATTTGTTCATAACACTATACTTTGTCGATCACTTGGTTTTAATCTAATGTGTTAGTAGTAATGGGATTACATTATTACTTTGTCAGTTTCCTGGATTCGTCGGACTCTTCAGTCACCTAAGTGAATTTAGCTTACACTTTAGTGAAGATAGCTTACACTTAATTGTTCCCTTGGAAGAATTCAGAAGTATTTTTGAATGGGGGCACATATATGATAGTCAGTGTTAAGCTACAAACTATATTGATGCATATGAAAATTTTGTTAAGAAAATATTTTACTTTTAAAAAGTTGTTAAAAATATTTTTTGTTCCATGATCGTATCTACGTTTTTTTTTCTTGATAACCATGAGATCTCTAAGACTTTCTTGACCTAAAGATTAATCTCACAAAACTTTGTATTCGGGTATGCCTTATCCTATTGTTAAGGTGCGGCTAGGTGACTAGTGATAATCGAACCTAAGTGGTGGTAGTTTCAACCGAAATACCTTTCGGACTAGAGTTTGATTGGGCCATATTGTGTTGAATATAACCATTACTTAACTTATTCTGCATTTTAGGCTAATTATAACCATAACTTAGTTAATGCTGGTAGGTATGCACTGAAAGTTCAAACAGGCAAGATTTAAAACTCCTAGTCCTAGTTTAGTACTAGTATGCAATAATAATTTGGTTGATAACTATATATTTGCTGACGTCAAACTGGGATAAAATAGTGAGACTTGAACTTGGTTTCGGCGGCAGGAAGTAGACAGAAACTGACCCAAACTCGTCACCTATCTTTGCTGTCTGTCTCTTGCATGCATTGCGTAATAAGCTATTTCATAATTTATGAACAATGCTTAAAATATTATTACTGTTCTTACAAGCTACCCAATGTGAATAGATTATAAGTCAATTTTGTTTATTTATGCTAATCAATTTGTATTTAGTTGGTCTCTTGCACTACTTCACTATGCTAATCAATTTGTATTTATTTTAATACGATCCTCCAATATTGACCAAAGGTTGGATATGTTATTATTAACTGTGAGTCTCGTTTTACGAATCTAAGCAGACATGCGTGTTGCATATACATCTCTCTGAAATAAATTTGGAGAAAGCAAAGAATCATTTAAAGTGATGAAAGACTTGGTGACATGATTGCCATTTTACTTCTTATCCAACATTTAAAGTAATCCCACTTCAAGACTCAATCACTTTAATTCCACTCCCATATTTATTTTTTTAGTTCAATACTTTTTTTTTTTTGAATTTTCAGATTTTATCTTATTTTTAGAATTCTGCCTCGTTTTATCAAACACTTGAAGCCAACTATATATACACGTAAACGAGCAAGCAGAAGTACCTGCCTCCTCACTCTCATGTTGTATACTATATTCCTTAACTCTCTTCTTCTACACAAGCAAAACTCTCTATCTCTCTGGAAATGTAATGGGTGAGTAACACCTGCTGGAGAAGCAGGGCACGTGCGATCAAATGAGATCAATCAGTACATGTTGATCATATATTCGCACGTGTTCTACTACTCCAACACGTGTCTCTCCCCCTCCCGACTATGCAATCTTCCACGGTGAGTAGAGAATTTACCACAAGCGATCCGAGTTCATATTTATTGGATTACTACGTACTTACATTTACTATGTTTTGATCTATATATCCTCGATATATAAGAGCCAGGCGAATTAAACACTCATTGTTACTCAAATTTTTTGTCGCTTTAGTTGGCAATGGGGTGGACACGTGTGATATTGCAGTGCATCGACATTTATACATTACATGTCTAAATGTCTATTGTAACTTAAGTCACTGAAAGCCTCAGTTACAAAAAAAAAAAAAAAACTTAACTCACTGATAAAGATTCTTCTTGTAGTTTCTTTATTAATTAGGCATGGTAAAAGTTGAGACTGCAGTTAACTCTGACAGACGAAATTTGATTTCTTATGTATAAATAGCATACAGGGATTAAGTAACGTTGTTTTATTTTCTTGGAAAAGAGTTAAGTGAGAGTCTAGTAACTTGATAAAAAGACGATGGCGTCAGATATTGTTGTAATAATGTATGAAAGCGTGAAACTGTGTGTAAGGTAAAAAATAGAAAGGTTGCTGACGCAATGTTCCCGTAGAAAGCGGGGGATTTTATCCCTCTCTTTCACTGTTTATTAAATATCTAAAACTATCACTTCTGTCTCTTTCCTAGTAAGAGTGTAGAGTAAAATGAGAAAATAAGATAAAAGTCAGTTACAGTTAAATTTCACAAGTAATACTGTCACGTACTTGTGGGGACAAAAGAAGCACACTGGAGTGGAATGTAGTGCTTCTAACGAAATCTTGAATCATAATAAACAAAGATAAATAAAAATCAGAATGGAAATTGCTAGGAACAAAATTGCTATTCCCTTTACCTTTGGATTAAGCCATTAAGGTATCAAGACATTATATTTGCCTTGAGTCGGATTTTCAATGTTACTGTGGTCAGTTGAGTATTTTAGTTAATACTATATGGTGACAAACTGAATTATGAGCCATACTGGAGGTTGAATGATAGTCTATTGTAAGTTCTATTTGGAGTAAATAAAAATTGAAGAGTAGTTGCGAACTTCTTTTGTTTTTTTTTTGCTAAGAGGTAGTTGCGAACTTGCAAGGACAGTATCAAAGTGAACAAAATTAACATTATCAAGCTAAGTCACTCAGTGTTCTTTAGTAAAGACTCTATATACAATTATCTGATCCTCTCTGTATTCTTAATGGAACAAATGAAGCCTGGTTTGTTTGCTTAATAGCGACATTTTGTAACTCATAAGGATCAGATAACATGTTCCTTTTTATTCATCTGAGTGTTTAAATTTTTAAATATATTATTGACTTATTGTACGTCACTGGAATAAATAATCAAAATTAAACGTTCAAATCTTGTATATGATCTCAACTCAAAATTAGAGAGAAACAATGGGCTCATTACCCACATTTCAAGTCTAAAAGGGCCAAAAATGGGCTCACTACTTTTATTTGATTAAAACCCAATCACTTTCTCGTAAGGTTTTTCGCCCGTCATACTCTTCCTCATTCTCCTTTGCCGGACTCCGTCGCTTTCTAATTTTCCAGGTACGCGAAATCTTAGGTTTATTTTCTTGAACATTGGAAGTATTCTTAGCACTTGATTTATTTCCTAGGAGTGGGCTATCGAGCTTTTCAACCTTTAGAATCTGAATCACATATCTCACTGTATTTTAGTTTCATCTTGCTAAAGTTCGATTCTTTTTTTTAGATGTTTGATTATTAGGAACAGGAAGTTTTAAGGTTTGAGTAATTCCGTCAACATGAGTGTTTGGATTTGGTGTTTTAGTGCTTAAGGTTTGAAGTAACAAATTGATGCCCACTAACTGTTTGATGAAATGTCTGAATGAAAATCAAATTCTTGTTGTTTGGTTATAGATGAAGGAAAAAAATTTAGGATGTTTGATTCTTTATGTTCGGTTTGGGTTCAACAAGCAGTCTAGTTATTTGAATCCAGGAGGGTCACATCACACTTAGTCTTTGTCTGATATGAGTCATAGGCTATGTTATTAGATTACTTCTCACAAAACCCTCTAAAAGTTTTATCAGATTCTCTCTGTTTGAAGTGTTAACACTTTGTTTCTCCTTGCAGTCGTTTATAGAGTAAGAGAGAGAGAGAGAGATGGTGATTCCACCGGCAGTGAGACCACCACGTCTCTTCGACTACCTCAAACCTTACGTCCTGAAGATGCACTTCACGAACAAGTTTGTTCACGCCCAAGTCATCCACTCACCGACAGCCACAGTGGCTTGCGCAGCGAGCTCACAGGAGAAAGCATTGAGAGAAACAATGAGTATCACGCGCGACGTGGCGGCTGCTTCAAAGATTGGTAAAATCCTCGGGGAGAGACTCTTGATGAAAGATATCCCAGCTGTTACGATTCACATGAAGAAAGAGCAGAGGTATCATGGTAAAGTCAAGGCTGTGATTGATTCCGTCAGGGAAGCTGGTGTCAAGTTACTTTGATGATTATTATTTGCAACAAACAATCCATGAAACCAAATCAGTTCCGATCTTGTTGATTTCGAACATTGTTGTTTCTTCTTCATCTTCAGGGTTGTGAAGAAACTTGTTCTAAAGAGAATGAGTGTTATAAGCTTTGACTATTGAGATAATAAGACTTTATATCAATTCCATTTCTGAAATTTTGACATATATGCATAGAATTGTCACAGAGAGAGGCTAAGGGGGATTTGTTGGAACATCGATTTAAGAAAATTTAAGATTTGAATCTATATATAATAACAAACATGTTTGTTATAATATATAATAACAAACATGTTTTTGTTTTTCAAGACAACATCATTTTTTATAGGAAAAAAAATATGATCCAATTTTTATTAGTTATTTATTTTCGTGATTTGATGGACATAAATCACTTTTGCTATTTATGTTGATGTCATCAAAGTTTTTGATAACTCTTCATTCAAAGAGTTATTTATTTGAAACAATACATCTTTTTAAAAATCACAATAATACATTTTTATCATAAAAATATTGATCCAATGGTCATTATTTCTTTTTATTATGATTGAAGGGATGTAATCTAATTTTGTTTTTGTGTAATATGATCCAATGGTTATTAGTTATTTATTTCCATGATCTAATGGGATATAAATCATTTTTTGCTATTCATGTTGATGTCATCAAAGTTTTTGGTAACTGTTTCTTCAAAAGTCATCTATTTGAAACAACACATCTCTTTAAGAGTCACACTCATATTTTTTTCATCATAAAAAATTGATCCAATGGTTATTATTTATTTCTTTTATGATTAAATGAATGTAATATAATTTTTTTTATGTTCATAAAACACTTTTGTTATATATGTTGATATCATCAAAACTTTTGGCAACCATTCTTCTTACAATTATTTATTTTAAATAACACATCTCTTTAAGAGTCACACTCATATATTTTCATCATAAAAATTGATCAAATGGTCATTATTTCTCTCTTTTATGATCAAAGAGATGTAATATAATTTTGTTTTTTTATGTTCATGTATTGAAATATTTGGTTACTTTTTTGAAACATTTACTTTTTTAAAACAACACATACCTTCTAGAATAGCAACCGTTACACCTTTTTAGGGTCTTATATATTGAACTTTTTAAGGCAAAAAGTTTTTTTATCCAATATCTCTTCTCGTACTAATGTTCTTCATGGTTTGCATTTATATTTCTCTTCCATCTTATTTTCTATCTTTTTTAGTCTCTTCCTTTTGGTATCTTAAAATCGTAAAGGTATGTTTTTGGTATTTTGCCATAATTGTGATTATTGAACCTTAATATAAGAGCTATTAAATTTGTAGTGTGGATGGGTTGCTTAATGTGTACATAACTTTTTAAAGTTAAATAACAGAAATAACAAATAATTTATAAATCAAGGAAATAAAATAAGTAAATTATGATGCATATTAGCCGCCATTGTTAACGTCTCTCTTCTTCATTGAAAATATAGTCTCTTTTCTTCTCCGTGTTTTCGAAGGCACAACCTTTTTGATTTTCGAAGTCACAATCTCATTATTTAGTTTTTGACTATTGGAATCAATAAGTTGACTTGAGCACGGGTTCTTTTGGTTGAGAAGTAGAGAAAGGAAGAAAAAGAGAGTTATGGAGCTTCTTCCCAATCTTCCATGTCTTTCAAGTAGGTGGTGACTCATCACTTGATCGCACCTTAAAAATAAACTGTCGTGACTCAAAGTATCTTGCACCTTAAAAATAAACTGTCATGATCCAAAGTCTTGTAAGGTTTTGATCTAGGCAAGTGGCGACCCATCAGGTATCACACCTATTCAGTGTTGCAGTGTCTTTTGGTGTATCACACCAACAAACATTAAATGTCTTTTTCTTCTCCCTTCCGGCAAAGTCAGCACCCAATATATACTTGTTGACAAGCCCGACCCTGAGAAGGCTAAAAAAAACATGGGCCGGAAGCACATAAAGTTTTTTAGGGCCTATAAAAAAAATAGTTCAAAATAATGTTGAAAAGATTCAAACCTAGCACATTTTGGTAGATCAAAACAATTTTTAACCAGCTGAATTACATGAAATATTTAAAATAATTGGTTGCAATATTTCATATGTTCACAGGCGAGAAGCTTATGCTTCGATGACTTCTGTCTAGGGCCGCTACTGCTTGTTGATCATTGGAACTAATGCGGTTTGTTGATTAATGGGTTTGACACCAACACCTTAAACGGTTATGTGCTACGTTTCTTATTATTATTTTTTATTCAAAATCTATTTACAGAAAGTTTCTTAGTTGAGAATAAGAAAACAGCAGACGATAAGTAATTATTGCATCGTAAGATTCTATCGGTTCATATATTATTAAATAGTCATTTAAGTTTGTGGAGAACCATCTAACCCAAGAGCTCCGCATGTGGCTACTGCTGTTGGGATCATGGTTGTTATTCAAGCAGGGGGTGAATAAATGCATGTGTCACTTGTAATGGTTCTTTCTTTACCAATTTGTGGTTATGGTTTTTGTTCAGCAATGAACCATATGCTGAGTTGTCTCTTTGGTATAGGGTGGAATAGGTCCTGCCGGTTTATTAGCTGAGGATCGATCCATGTCTTGATCTGAGTCATCTGACACAGCGACGGCCACGATGGCAATGGTTGGATTTGTATAAATCTGCTACTTGTGAAGCCTATTATGCTAGAAGGTAAACTAATGGTAGAGACAATCTACCCGTCATGCTGTCCCAGTTTTATCAAACCTCAACATCTAGCATGAAAAAATGTATATCTCTAAAGTCAAAATCGCAATGGATATAACAAAGGTCACATCTTCAAACAAGATTATTTTCATAACCGTTGACTAAAGAAAAAGTTACCCTTAATTATGATCGCACCTTTTTACTCATATATAACTGTTTTTTTGTGTGGTAAAACTCAATATATGAATTTTATTATTAACTACTATTACATCACCATCTTTATTTCTTCTACACAATCTTTATTATTCATCTCAAATTTTAAGAGATTTGCAATTTTGTTATACTCCAACTAATCTTTAACTTTAACTTTACAATTATTAATGAAGTTTAAAGACTCTTCTTATTAATGTTCATCCATTTTCTATCATATTTATAAACATCAATCTGGTAATAATTTTTAATTCTTAAAAAAAAATTGATTTAAGAAACTTCAGGTGACTACTTTGAAAACAAAACCCACATTTAAAGAATTACAATAACCACCTCGATTAAATTGAAAAGGTTTTCAGATTATTGTATCACTTATATGTTTAGACTTAGATTTTGTTAAAAACCCTTTTTCAGAAAAAAAAACTTAGTTTTTGTAATTTTATTTTGTAGATTTACTCCTCTATCCAAAAATGGATCAGAGAGTTACAAAATTTGATAAAAGTTATGGCCTATCAACAAATGTTAGTGGCGGTCTGATTATAATACAATATAAGATCTTTAAAAACTTCACCACAACACCATTGATGCACTCAATTCATTTTAATGTTGATGACTTTTTATACGAAGATAAATATGAAGATAAGAGATACTTTTATGTGCAGTTACTAAATGAGGGATTGGAAGTGAATGATGCCAGTGGACGTTTGAACAGTCTTATTATGATAAGTGATAAAATAACATCGTTTCCAGATTACTCTATTATAAATGACGTTACCTTTTGAGAAGAATGTCAGGAATAAAATCTCGACACTTAGAAGACTTAGGGTCCGAATGGTGATGGCGGAATTTATATTAAAAGCGGTGCGGAATTAAAGTGGGAGACGGTATAACTGTGGTATGTGCGGTTTGCGGGAGAAGTGCATTTTGGTAAAATTAACGGTGCGGAATTGTGTTGATTGGTGAAAATATGTTATTTGCAGATTTGAACAAATTAAAATATTTTTTCATTTTTTTTTGTAAAATGTTATATATCAATACAATCAATATAATTTAAAACTAAAACTTTCGATTTAGTTTTGTTATTGGTGAATTTTTCTGAAATTTAAATACCAAAATTCATATGAATTAAACATTTAAATTACAATTTTTGTCAACAAACATGCAAATTACATATATAAAATAAAAAACTAAGTAAAATACAATTAAAACTTTATCGATTATTTTGATTTCCAACAACATATTTGCAATATTGTCTCTTATTTGTGCCATTTTTTCTCCGTATGCTGCATCAAGTTCTTCTGTATCAACCAAAGCAGATTCTGAATCTCTGTTGTTCAGTCTCGTATCTGGCATTGTATTTGCAAAATCCTTATCTGCGTAGTTTGATATTTTTTAAAGTTATGTAATCTCATTGTAGCCATTACCACTCTTTTTTGAACGTCTATTTTGTATCTTGGAAAATCCGATAGAATCCTCCATTTTTTTCTTCCAAACTCAAAATGTTCTCTCAATAACTGAACGCAGAGACGCATGATATCGGTTGAATAATTCTCGTTTATTTCTAGGAGCAGGTCCAGAGTTGAATGGAGATATATGATATCGCACAACTCCATTTCGTGATGATCTATATGGAGCTTAAAAACCGTGCTTCTTCGGATAACCTGAATCAACGAGATAATATTTGTCTGGCGGAGGCAAAGGGAACTCGGAATCGTTTTGCTGTGCCATTGCCAGAGCAGCAGTATCGTGACAAGATCTTGGTTCTCCATTCCATATATATGTGAATAACATATTCAAATCACATATTGCCATGATGTTCAAAGATGCATGATCATGTCGATTTCAATACATTCCTTGTAACTCATGCTCCACTTTTACGCATACATGAGTCCCATCCATACCTCCAACGAATCCACTGAAAGAGGTTAAATATCTTTGATCTGAATGAAGTCTTTCAGGAATTCGCATTAGCTCTTGTCTTGTTGGGGATCTAATATGATCACATGCCAATTGTTCTGTCGCCGTTAGAACTTCTATAAATTTCCTTTGAATCGTCTCTTGATTTCGGCTAAATATCAAACCAACATCTTTATGAACTTCATTATGCCCACATATCTGTAGAAATATAGCCACGCTTTCTTCAACACTTACATTGAGTGTTGACTGTAGACCATAATTTGTTTGTAGCACATTACACAATGAGTAGAAACACGGTAGTGTCTTTCACAGTAATTGAAGACAAGCAGCAGCATCTTCTTATAGTCGTTCCCAAACATTT